TGTGTGTGTGTGTGTGTGTGTGTAGTAATAAAAACAGATTTAGCTTCGGCTGTAAATCATACATTTACATCTCACACACACATGTTTGTACTTGTGTCTTAGTGAGGACACTCATTGATAACACATTAACTCGCTCAATATAAATATATAATCCTGAACTAAACTAAACTAAACCTGGTTCTAACCCTGAAGTCTTAACTCTTTGAACATTTGAACTTCCACAGGTTCTGACTAAACTGGAAGTGTGAATGTCTGAAAGTCTTTTCTCCACTGGTCAATAAAACTTCTGGATTTGTTACGTGAATTCAAACAGTCAAGGTCACATGACTGTTGTGAACTCCAGATCAGCAGCTTTGGGAACATCACACCCGAACGTGCTGATTTCTTCTTCTTCTGTATTTTCGCTCTGCGCCACTCGACAGAGAGGTGAGAGAGTGGAACAGATTCTGACGTGGAACATGAGTCACCGAGGAGAAAAACCCCGAAAGGAAACTGTTCAGTTGTTCAGCAGGTTTACGAAACGTGTGTTTACCTGCTAACCGTCTTGTTAGCTTGGTTGAATTTAAGGGACTGTTGTTTGAGGTCTAATCTCTTTAAACTGTTGAATAACAAACTCACTGATAATATCTAAAAAATATCTAAAAGCAACGGAAGTGGACGTGTTTCTCTTCAGACTTTACGTCTTCATTGGATTTATATATTGAATACTTTCAAAAACCACATGAACATTTCGGCCATTTTAGAGATTAAAGTGCTGAGTTCACAGGTTCTGTCCGACGAGGACGAGGACGAGGACAGTTCTTGGAATCAAACAGAAGAAGGGGGGGTTCAGAGAGTTTAATATAAACTGTTCCTGCAGTCGCCCCAAAGCTGCTGCTGCATTATTAAATACTGAGAGTGTGTTAGTCCAGAGGACGACGAGGAAACAGCAGCAGGTAACAGTGATGGATTCTGGGAGGTTTTTTATAGATAGAACATGAAAGAAAGAGAGAGGGAGGAAACAAGGAAGGAGAAAAAGAATGAACAGAAGAAAAGAAGAATTATAGAAGATAATAAGGTTGAAAGAAGAAATTAAGGTTATGATGATGGTTAGGAGATGTGGGTGGAAGGAAGGATATTTGAATAAAATGATGAGGTTTCCAACAAATGAAGGAGACATGGAGGAAAGAAGAGCAGGCAGGAAATAAGGAGGGAAAAAAGACAGAAGGAAGAAGAGGAGGACGGACAGATGAGAAAGTGTGAATGTGAATGATTGAAAATGAGGCTTGTGTAACAGTCTCCACACACACACACACACACACACACACACACACAGTAGTAAGTAAAACCACCAAACTAAACTGGAGGACACTTTGACCGAGGCTAACCATGAATCTCGCCCTGGGAGAGAACGTGAAACACGTTGCTAAGCTCCACCCAAAGGTTCTTCCTTGGAGAGCGACAGCTCCTCTGGACATACACTCGTCTGTATAAACGCCCTATATGCTAAGCTAACCCGTCATTCATACCATAGGATGGTCGGTTGCTGCTGGACGTCAGTCCAGTAAAAGTTCGTCTTCACGGTTTTGTGTAAAACACTTTAATTCCTGACTCCACACGACAGCAGGTGTCAGGTTCTCACAGGTTCATTTTTATTATTATTACGCTTTGATCCAAATCCACTTGAAATCATCTTCGACGTGCAGATGGGGAAGACTGAGGATCAGTTCAGGAGCCGCTGCATTCAGACGACTGAGGCCGAACTGAAGAGGTCGGGTCTACGAAAGATTTCCAGTCTGCAACACAGCTTGCACCGTTTCATCGTTAGCTACTTTAAGCGGCTGCAATATTCGTAGCTAACTCGTTACCCCAGGTTGTCCTGGGTCACATTTCTCTACTACATTTGAAGGAGGCTTCAAAAAGGTTCCTCCTCATCAACAGAGCTGATGAACTGAGAAAAATAATATTTTACGATGGTTCTCGTCATGTTTTGAGCAAAGTTGTTAAAAGTTGACGATGACTGGCTGCAGCCAGAAGGCACATGTTTGAATCTGAAACAATATGAACCAAACTGGTTTTTATTGAGGGAAGATTTGATTTGTCTTCAGAGTTTTTGTTCAATTTAAATAATTTCCACGTCCCGTCGACCTCTCTGTGCTACAGAACTTTAAATTCCTGACAAAGACTCAGTGGTTCATTAACTGCAGCAGCAGCGTCAACACAACGATCAAAGAATTAACGAGTCGGGAAAGTTTTCAACCAAACCTCATTCAAAATGTTTTTACTTAGAAAACGATCACATGATCTGATCCATTCACTTATTTAAAGAAGGGGGGTGATGTACCCATGTCATCGTGATGTCATCGTGATGTCACTTGAGTGCAGCTCAGACAGGAAATGATCTCAAAGCCATGAAAGTGTGGATGAGGTGGTTTATCAGAGGATGAAGAATGTTCTCACCATCCGAAGCCTCCGAACGACACGCTCCTCTTCCTCCTCAACATGCTCCCTCGCTCGCTCCTCTTTGTCTTCTTCTCCTCTTATTGTGTCTGGATTCTCTCTCTCTCTCTCTCCCTCTCTCTGTCGTTCTACCTTCTCATCTCTCCACCTATAAATACTCTCATCTCCGTCAGACGCCCTCTTTCACTTACCCCCCCTCTCTTCTCCCACTGTCTCACTACCTCCCTCTCTCTCTCTTCATCCTGTGTCTCCTCCTGCTGTTAATGTTTCTCTCTCTCGTTCTCTCAGTGAGAATATAAACCAAGGTCTACATGATGTGCCCCCCTCCC